TTAAAAAACACTTGTCAAGGATCATACAGGTAAAAGAACCCATTATTTATAAATTTGAGACAGATTGTTATAAAGTGAGAGATGCATACTATATTTATTGGGTACATGAGAGGCACCTTTATACCTTAAGCCCTCATTAAGGGTAAGACAACACATTAAAGAAGCAAAGAATTAAAAGTAGAGAGAGCAACAAGAGAAAAAAGAAAAAGAACATGGCAAAATCAAATTGAGAACAAGACAAGAAAGAGAAGTCTTTATCTGTCTAATGATACTTTTGACCATTCGGTCCAATCAATATGGCTTAGCAGAAGGCCCATATCACTCCTATCAAGACCTACTTCTTGATTATGCAATTCTTTTTATATTGATTTCAAAATACGTGAAATTATATTAGATTATTTTTTAAATAAGTTGTTGAGGGTAGAAGAAAGGTTCTAACATATGTTGAGAAGATTTGGTTAAAATCTAGCTGAAACGAGACTCTAACATATGAGTGGTTGACTATAGAAGCTTTATTAATCTACGTTAGATATGGAGTCTAGTTTAGACTGTATACTCGAATATCTTGGACATCGTCATTTGTTCACTAGGGAAAGGGCAACAACACTACATCAAGGTTCTTCAAGTTGCAATGTCGGGGAGGGAAGTCTCTCTTTTCTACACCAAGCAGTAAAGTTACTACAACAAGATCGGCTTTCTGGAACGTCAAATATGTATAAATATCTTAATGGACAGTTTTATTGAACTTAATTTTACAAAAACAAAAAAATCATGTGTCATAAGTAAAAATTTTATAACTAGTTGATATGACGCTCTCGAACGTCTCAACAAGTTTTTATGATATTTTAAAATAAAATAACTTCTCAATATTTTTACACGACATTTTAAAAACTCAACTTATAAAAACAAATGTCATATAAAAAGATATGTTGATATAACATTTTATTTCAAAAGCATCCTAAAACATTTTTACACATGACACACAATTGTGTGGTCCTATAAGCTTAAATCTTATAAAAACGGTTTATTAAGGCAGATGTTGTTTGGTTGGTTTGTCATTAAGTTCTCTATGGATTGCGAAAGTTATTTCATAAATGAAAGAAGCGTGTTTCCAATTGGGAGGGGCAGGTTTGACTAAAGACTTGATTTTCTACATAAAATTTCATTTAAAAGCTTATTGAAGAAGCCACTTTCTATATAATTAAACCACTATCAAACAATCATATCCTAATTTTATTATAATGGGTTATATCCTGGGTCACAACTAACAACTAGCATGTGTTTGCTAGTAATGCTCACTATTTGCCAACAAAACTTGTGAGTCAACTTTTGTTATAAATATTGGCTCAAAGGGTCCATGAAACCAAGTTGTGTTAATTAAAACTAAAACCATATTTTCAAGAGAGGTGATATTATCTGGTATTATATCACATCACAATTTCTGCTCCATTAGCACTTGCCAATTACTTTCTATTTTTCTTCTAAAATGGTGCAGAAAATTAAAGGTAATGAGGGATTAATTATATTTTAATAAAATAAAATGAGGAAGAAAAAGTAACTTTACCATATATAATGTGCCACTGATTGGTGCCCAACTGCGTCATAAGAGGTGCGACATCTGAAAAGCCAGAAACAGTAGACAAACATATATCTTTATTTCTATTACTCTTCCCTTTTTAAAAGAAATGTATATTGCTTTTTTTGAATCTTGTATCCTCTGATTTGTATATTACTACATGCTCACTATTATTAGTATTTATAGAATCGGTTTGTATAGTAGTTGGACCAACAAGCTCACAATTAATACATATAATTTGTAACAACTCACCAAACATATAAAAAGATTTAAAGGGCTTTTTTGAAGAGTAATTTAAGGGTTTCATATATTCTAACAGATCAAAAAGGTAAACATAGTGCACCAAGATTTATTAAAGATTTTGCGTTTATAGGACCAAACAATTGTGCATTCTAAGTAAATGCATTAAAATAAGTTGAATAGGATGTTTTTTTAATGTTCTAAGCATCTTCAACAGAGTGACTTAAGAACCCACTTTTTTTATTTTTTCTTGTCATATAATTGTCAACTTATCAAATCAAGAACCTCCGTGAAACCCCACAATGGAATGGCCCATAAGAACCTACTTGTGTAGGTCCCATGTAATTTTTCACCATTAATTTTAATTATATCATTTTAAAAAACTAGTAAAATAAAAATTCACACAACATTAAATACCAAAGTTCTTGTATAAGGACTCTAAAAACAGCATTAAAAAATTACATTTTTTCTTATTAAAAAACTACCATTAAAAATGCGCTAACAAGATTTTTCCAACACTTTTGAAATAAATTGTCATATATCCAACTCATTATATGAGCCGATTAATCTCAGAACGACCACCTGCTTTGCAGGTAGCCTGAAGTCACTGCATTTGAACTTCCCTGGCCACAAGGGGATTTTTATCCCTCATTGGATTTAGACCTGGGACCTCCAGGTACTTTTGACCTTTGGAGCTCAAACTCAAACCAATCAAGCCCCACCCTTATACTCTTATAGTTCATATTAGCTTTTTGATATGCCACTTTTGATAAGTGTCCTATGATCTTTCTACATAACATTTATTTTTATAAGACAGTTTTTTTCTCAAATAATATCATATAAAAAAAACACATAGGACGTTTTTAAATATTTTAGACAATCAATCTATTAGAGCACCATCTTAATTCAGTAACGTAATCCATGACAACTTTATTTCAAGAAGCCATTACGTAAATAATGCTTAATAGTTAAAAGATAACAAAATTCATTGAATTATTTTGGAACTAAAAGGATCATTGAATTTGGGTCGGAAGGAGGAATTATAATTTTGTTTTGGCCACAATGGCGACTGAGTCATCAGCTTCATATATAAAATCTCGTTACCACTTATAGAAAAAGGTTTTGCCTATTTCTACACCCTTTACGTCACTACGACCATTGATAGCCAAAGCCATTTCATCTTGGCTCGGCTCCGCTACGTAACCCTAGGCTCATGCCATCTTCAATCATTGTCTTAAAAAGCATCTTTAATAGATGTTTTAAACTTGAACATGTTTTTTATTTCAACAGATTTTATAAAATAATGAAAAATAAGAGAGCTTAAAATTCTTTAAATTTGAAGAAACCCCAAAAAATTATTACCACGATTGAGAAATATTGTTTTTAATTATATTCCACCAATAAAAAAGCTTGAAATTAAATATTTTGGAACGATAAATAATAATTTATTAAATGTATCAAATATATTGATGATATGATAAGTTGTAATATAAAAATGAAAAATCTGTTAGAGTTGAATGTAATTTCGTTATGAAGATTTAAATTTTTTTGATTCTTCATTTTGGTGAAATGTTGAAGAATCTATTAGAGATGCTTTAAAAGAGCTAAAGTGTCATAATATAGCAACAAGTCATGTCCAACTTATGTACTAAATCTAAATAAGTGTGTTAATAGATGGGCCAAAAATGATGATTTCATGAAAAATATCTCTATATTTGTTATATCGTCAAATGATACCACCACTTGAAAAAAAATAATCTAGATCCATGACTCTGCCCATAACATATAATCATATAGATTTAAGTAATTTACTAAAATTAATCAATCTACAAAAAAAATATTATAGTTAAATAAAACATAACTACAAAATTTAACTAATTTACTTAAGGATTGTTTGTTTACCTCTTAATAGTTCCACTAAGGAAGCAACTTCTGAATCATTAAGAGATGAATCTTGTTTGACAAAAAAAAAATTGCCACTTAATCCTCTGAATGATTTTGCATCCTGAGTCTCCCTTGACCATTCAGCGCCCTAATTTCATTGTAAACAATTATCAAATAATTATATTTTATTTTACACTATATCATAAAAATCTTTTAATCATTTTACACTAAATCATTCAGGAACTACCAAACAGCTCCTTAAACTAATAAATATACACAAAAGAATGAGTATAATTAAATGATAAATTAATAAATATATAAAAAAATTATAATTTAGCATTGACCAATTAAATGCGATTAATAGTGTAAATTTGAATGATATATTTGACAGTTTCACTTGAAGATGATGTTTAACAGTAACGTTTTTTTCTTCTTCTAATTTTATGAATCATTTGATTTGTTTGTTGTAGTTCAATAACATTCTTCGGTTGAATTAATTATATCTCCACCTCTCTCTGTCTCCATAAGTGTGCCACTGGGAGTCACGCTTTAAGCTTTAAATGCTATCCACAATAAAAAGCCCCAAACCCAACGTAAGCCAACCCAAACAATCATCTATTCATTTTCAAACACCAATCTTTTAATTAACGTTTCACAATCACGGATTAAACATCTAACTAAATACAATTTTTATTAAGAATCAGTTACCTTTTTCAAGAAACAACACATGAAAAAGATAACATGGTACCTATGAAAAAGATAACATGGTACCTAATTCATAATAAAAAATTACATGTAATATACGGTTATACTCTAAATACTACTCAAATTTAGTAGTCGTTCACTAAAGACTTACTGGGTAAGCATTTATCGGGTGTCAATTACTTTATCGGGTGAGTAAGATAATGATCTGGAATCTTACCCGATAATTAGGAAGAGCAAATTTGAAAAAACTTGACGTTTTATATAAAATCCCCCCTATGAGCTTAGTTATCTGAATCATTAAACCACTACCAAACAGTTATATATAACTGATCGAATAAGCTGTAAGTCTTGTTAAGCTCCTAACAAAGAGATAGTTAGATATGTGTGAAGATTTGTTTTACTAAATGATACAATCAGTAAACAACTCGACGGTTTACCGACTGACACCGGTATCATCCGTATATCATACGGACACACACACACACACGAGTACTTCTACAAATGGGACCCATTGTACCTTTTCGCATACTATAAAAACTCTTCATTACCTCATGTTCACCTTCGTCTTCCAACAACTTCAACCCAAATTTCCTGCTTATAACCTTAATTCAAACCTTAAAATTCACATTCTTAGCCATGCAAGCCAGTGAGCTCACGGACGTCCACTGCCTACTTCCTGCATACCCAAATCCTAACACGACCCATCTAGCTATGAACCTAAATAATTCATCAACGATCCCGTTCAACGTTAACCCGCTTTCGAACCCGTTTTACCATCTTCATATGAATCCACAATTTCAAGATTTTAACCCACAACCTATGTATTTTGGGAGCAATTCGACTTCGGATGAAGCGGATGAGCAACAACTAAGCCTCATAAATGAAAGGAAACGGAGGAGGATGATATCGAATCGAGAGTCGGCACGGAGATCACGGATGCGGAAACAGAAGCATTTAGATGAACTTTGGTCACAAGTTATATGGCTAAGAAACGAAAACCACCAACTTATTGACAAACTGAATAATTTCACAGAGACTCATGAACGGGCCGTTGAGGAAAATAATCAGCTTAAAGAGGAAGTTTCGGGATTGCGACAGATGGTCGCCGATATGCAACTTAATGGCACCTACACGACTTTAAGAGATCTAGATGATATCCACTGCAACGATGCTTACCTAAGAACTGAATCTTCAAACCAGTCGGTCTCGAGCTCGTCAGACTTTGTTTGAAACGAGCAGGGTCATTTGGTTAGATGACCCTTCCGGTAGTTATTTTAATCCATAACCTTCTGACATGTTTAAGATTGTTACTTCCGTGCACAATAATACCTGTCAGAAGATTATGGATTTAAAAGAGCATTTATCAAGAAGTCATTTGGCTAAATAACCCTACCGAGAAACAGATTGTTTTCTTCTTTTTTTCTTTTTTATTATCATCCAACTCAATTACTGAGGTATATTATATAAACAGTAAGAGATTGGAGAAGATGTAGCAAAATAGCATATCTATTATTCTAATGGGTAGCTTATGAGATACCAAACATTTAAATAAACAAGAATCACGGTTTCAGGACAATATTTTATTACTGAAATTGTTAAAAAAAGAATAGTGGGAAAATTCAAATAAGAAGGTAAACATCGTGAAGGTAAGAATGGAAGGTTCATATATAATCATTGAAAAAAATTTCATTTGAAGATGCATGTGTGAACCCATATCAATTATTCAAATATATTTTTTTCGATTTTTTCAATAATTCACATATGAACCTTAACCTTCCTTTCTTACATTCTCACGATATTTAGCCTTATTATTGAACCGAGCCCTTGCAAAAGTTCATATAAACAAAACTAGGAGCAAATTTGTAACTTCAGCTATATCTTTTCTCACATTTTCTTTCTTCATTCAAAATGGCAAATGGGAGGAGAGACTCTGAACTACGACCTTTCAGTTATAATCACGTAGGGTTATGTTGAGTACCAATCCTAGATTTCTTTTGTAAGTATATAATATTTGTATACAGCAAATAGGCAAACACACTTCTAATAGTCGGTGAGATTTGAACCATTGATCTGGGAGGATAGGATTTACTGGTAATCTGGTATGAGGCACAGATTTATTAACGCTAACCGAGACATGTCCCATCTGTTTGATTTTATGAGTTCAAATACCTCCTCAGTTACCTGATGTTATGCCAGATTCTCAGCTTTTCTACACATGGCACTGAAAGTGTTCTCTGCTTTCAAATGTGCATATGCTAAAGAATCTGATAAATACAAATACAGCAAGGAAATAGTCCTTTTCTCTATCTCTCTATTTTTATCTTTGTTTTATATATAAATATTATTATTTTTGTTTTAACTTTTACTGTGCTTTATCAAACATGCATATATGTAGGAACCTCCATTTAAAGAAGCGCAAAGGGGTTCCACGTAATCAAGCATGATATCAGAGCCGTGGTCTAGCCTCGGTTTGAGGAAGCGCGACGGAATACCACATTGGCTAGACAGGACCATTAAACACACATATATGTAGGAACCTCACCTCTGTCTATCTACAATGGATCTTTTAGAAAAAGATTCAAAGGGGTTCCAAATATTCTAACATGGTATAAGAGTCGGGTTTAGCACTTGACACACTCTTTCGCCTCCATTCGAGGTAACGTGCTCGAATCCTACATAATCTAGACCGGGACCATCAAACATCCATATATGTAGGAATCTTACCTCTAACTTTTTTTGATTAACCTGGATATCCAACCGGCTATGCGAGCCGACTAATCCCAAGGCGACCACCTGCTTTACAGATAGCCCGGAGTCACCGCATTTGAACCTCCGTGGCCACCTCTAACTTATGTCTACATACAAGGTCTCTTTTTAGAGAGAAATTCAAAGAGGTTCCATATATTCTAACATTTTAAGCCGGTTGGTATTCTTACTTCATCTTAGAAGCAACTTAACAAAGGAATACTGTAATTACGTGGAAGATAATATATCCTAAAAACAACTCTCAAGTGAGTAAAAGCTCTGAAAAAAGACTTGGATTTTCTTTCAATTAGCACATCAATACATGAGATTTTTCAAAATTCTCCAATAACTTGTGTACTGATGAAGTGCAGAGATCACTACATTAATCAAGAAATCGCTGTGGCTCCCAGAAATCAACACATCTACACCAATAAAAAGCTTGACATATCGCGAAAGTGAACTAATCAATAAAACCCGAAAACACTCGGAATCAACACGTCATCACGAACAAAAAGCTCAAAGGCCATAAGGATGACAACTTAGCACTAAGAAGTGTGGTCTCTACCACAAAGTCTTTTACGCAAAGGCAATAATACTTATTAACTTTTGACATCATTTTCAGTATTCTACTCAATCATGCTCTCCATGAAATTATATCCTAAATAAATTTTTGAAAATCACAGGCATGGAGTTAAACTGTCATAGTTGCAGTAGTTTAGTTTATTTACTTTATGGAATATCTTACTGAAATACCTGCGGCCAAATGACCTTCTGATAGGTTATTTTTATATACATGACATTCAGACAGATTTTTTTTAAATCTATGGTGTTCTAACACGTTTGAGAATATCACCGCTTAACAGAAGAATGCCAATTCTATACACAAGAACGCATAGAACCTTGTCAGAAGGTCATAGAATTCGAAAACACTTGTCAGGAGGTCCTAGATTCAAAAAAATACTTGTCAGGAGGTCACTTAGCTAAATAACCCATGAGAAACAAACATCATGAGGTCCCTACCAAACATCAAGAGAAACAACCCAGACTTGGTTTCTAAGAGGATCAAGCAGATAAATCTAGGTTCATGGTGAAAAACCATCAAAAAGTCTAAAGCATCTCTCCATTCTCATCTCCTATTTCTTGTAAACTCCAATCTTATATCTAGTGAATTTCTGAATTTAATAATCAGGGCATGTTTATGAAGCAATTTAGAAGTGAGCATGAATACACAACAAACAAAGTCAATAAGATGAACACCACCATATTTTAGATTTCTTCACAGGGACATGATTTTCCAAAATAATCAAGAATATGTAGTGATGCAAATAACAAGACCATGACTAAATATTATTCTGCCAATGAATATCCAAGCTAACCAACAACTTCTTTCTTATCCAAATGGAGTAATTAAACAAGTGAATCCCTAATAACAAACATAATATAGCACACCTCCTGGCTCTACTTGTTATCAAGGTCAATTCATATAGTCAACTCTAAAACGTGGTGGTGCTCATCTTTTTGACTGTGCGTTGCACACTTCTAAATTGCTTCATAAACATGTCCGAATTAATTAATTTAGAAATTCACCAAGTATAAGATTGGAGTCTACAAGAAATAGGAACCTCTTTGGAGCCTGTTTGTTTAGATACCATCAGTCAAGTCAACCCAATCAAAATTATCTCCCACAATTTTTACTTCATTCATTTGAACACACTTCAATGAACAAATTTCACTATGATTCTTCAACTTATCTCAAGAGTTTTAAGGACAATGAAAATTGTATACCGTATAGGCATATGATGTGTGGCATGCTAAACAATTTTCCTAGACATTGTGCATGTGGTACGGGACAGGACAAAACAAGAACTTGTTATCACATGTTTGGTTCAACATTAAACTGGGACAAGACAGTACGGATTGATTGGAACAAAAATCGAGGAACGGGACAAAATTGGTAAATTACTAAACTACTCATGTCAAATTAAACCCTAAAACCTCTTTCATCCACCTACCTCACTCTTGCCCGTTCCATTTTGTCCAGTCCAGCTTACCAAAAGCACCACAGTCCTTCAACAACTCTAAGAAAGAATGGTTTCAAACATCGGAGGAACTTGTTGCAGGCAAAAACATGGGAAAACGGATAGACATCAAAGACTCGATAACTTTAATCCTGAAGGAGTCACAGAGCTAAGAACCAGCACATGGAAAAGTCTCAATGGGCCACACAGCTGGCCAAACCGCGACCCAAATTCCATCATTGGGGCTAGAGATTACCAACTTCCCTAGTTTTCAAGATTTTTACGTGTTTATTTATTTCATTTGTTTAATGTAAATTGCATGAACCTAGGTATTTCGTCAATTAGGTGGGGTTAAATTTTTCAGTATTTTGGCCATTATTTTGAATATTGAAAATTTAGTCTAACCTGCCAAATTAGTGGAGTGTAAAGACCTTTGACCTTTGTACACACAGAGTGAGTGCCTGTTAACCAAACTCTTATCGGGTGAGTGTTTATCGCAAGAGTGACCACCCTCACTCACCTTATCAAGTAACATTCTCGGCCACCAAAATAGACGGTTGGTAAGCGTCTCTTACCAGACAGGTAAAGCTGACCGTCAAGAGTCTTCTCCCTCACTTACCGGGTAAGATTTTCGATCCTTGCTAAGTTTGTTTCTGGGTAAGATCAAGTGACTCCAGGTATGCACTTACACTGTAAGCATTTGATAGACGGCACGTGAAGATTGAAATATAATATTTTTCCTCTAGCATGTGTTTCACTACTTGCTTCATACCTTCATCATACATTTCTTCACCTCTTTCACCCAGAAATCCCCCATAAAACAAAATCTCCACGTAGTTTAAGTTACACAAATAAACTAAGAAAACCAAAGGTTTTTAACACCATCCACGATTTATGAGGCAATCACATTCAGCTTTGAGAAGAACCATAAAAGAAAATAAGTTGTTAACTATATGTTTTCGTCTACTTACGTATTTTCTAATTGCTTGTGGTGTGTGATGTAAATAATTATTGTTTCCTATTTCTTATTCAATGTAATCTTGATAAAACATAGAAATCCTGAATGCGTGTTCTTCATCTCCAACTCTATTGAATACTTTCTCAGCAGATCTAAAATAAGTAAACAATGCAACTCTATATAATTCCTCTTTCACGACTTCGTCCAGGCGAACAAATGCATCATTGCACACGAACTTAAGCAGTTTTATCTTATCTATATACACAATATTACTGCAAATCCTCGTCTATCACAAACCCTAGGTTTCATTCCCCTAGCGCAAATTCTTCGATTGTTTTTTAAAACAAACAATGGTGAATTGAAATCAAAAAGCTAATCTAATCATGGATGGAAAATACAATAGCAATGAGATCAAGTTCGAGAAGTTTTCTGGTGATTCAGTTTACCTGTTGATCTCGTATTCACTCCAGCCGAATGGGAAATCTTCCCGCGCGATGTTTGTCTTTGACTCTTTCTGCAACTTTTCTTCATTTAAGAGTTTATACATCTGACAAATTATTACTTCAGACCCTTGCACTTTGTCCTCTTTACAATTATGACCCCCGTAAAGGTCAAAACTCGAAAGTCAAAACCAAAAACAAAGTTAGGTGCCGTTTGTTTTTTAAGAAGTGTTTAAGTCTGAAGTCTGAATTCATTTCTGAATTTTAAGAGGTGGTGTTGAAGTCTGAAATCTGAATCAGTCAGACTGTTTGTTTTTACGTCTGAAATCTAAAATCTGAAATCTGAATCATTGAAATCTAGGCTTTCTTTGCAAGCATTGGAAGCTCTAAAAGCAATTAAGAGGTTTTAAGTGAAAATGTTACCTCTAAATAATTCAGACATAATCAGAGCTTTTAAGCTCTTAATTGGAAAAAAAACAAACACACTTAATACCCTAAGGTCTAACCGATTCAAACATAAGAGGATATGAAGTGTTTTTTAGGTAAAAACAAACAGTGCCTTAATGTTAAAATGGATAAAATAGATATTTTTGTTGCTTTAACATATATGCAATCCTCTATGCTAAATTAGAAAAAAGAGGTGAGGGATCATGAAAATCTCAAAATTTAGATAAATTTCTAAAATCGTATGGAAGTCAGATAAAATAATGTTTTAATTATATTCAACCAATTAAAGTTATTGAAGTAAAATGTGTATTCAGAAAAATAATATTTTATTAAATGTATTGAATATTTTGTTAATATAATTAATGTTATAATTACTAAAATAAAGTAGTTTGTTGGAGTTTGATGTAAATTCTTCTAGATATTTTGTCTTTTCATACTCTATTATAGAAAAATTATAGCATAGATTTTGGAGATTTTAATCTGCTAAAAAAATAGGTATCCACTATCAATGTTGAGTTTCAACTTTCTTGATTTATCGGGATGAAGAGAGAAAACCGAAGTCGGTTATTGTGGAAGCTATCGGTCTTAAAAAAACTCTTATTTGGATGAGAGGATGGCATCAGATGGTGGTAGAAACAAACTGTCTTGTGGTGATCCAAGCTCTACGCAACAACACGAGTCTGACCTCTTCATTTGGCTTCATCATCCAGAACCGTAATGGAATTTTGTCTAAAACAAACTATAGCTCGGTCTTTTTTGGCCAAATGATTTGCCAACAAGGTTGTTCAATCCATTGGTTGGGAATTGTGTCTATATGCAAGGTGTGGTGAGGATGAAACAAGTTTGCCCCAAATGTTCATGTATTTATTTTACTGATCTAAAGGTTCCCTTTTTGTCAAACAAAAGTCTCCACTTTCTTATTCAATTCTTAATTATGATATGAAAAAAAATATCTATTATCTAATAAAAGTGTCAGTTAATTAATTAAAAAGTGTAATAATCTATACTATATTATAAAACATTTGACAAAAACTCTTAAAAACCATTTTTTATGCGTAAAATATTGTTTAATAATGCATATTACTTAAAATTCAATATTGCAAGTAGATTATGCGTAAGTACAACTTATTAAAGCTTTATATCTGAATTCGTGTAACTAACTGCAGATAAACATAATCAAATACATGATAAACATCTCATTTTAAATATATAAAATCTAAAATATAATTAGGTATATTATCGAGTTCTAACAGAATACTTAATTATTATATTTATAAAATGTTATATTATTAAACCAAAAATAAATTATTTTGTTATTAAACTTAAATTAAATTATAATAGAAAAATAAATTAAAGAAATTACATAAAAAATGAGAACTTTTAAATAGTTGATTTTGATATTAATATTGATATATATTTTTCAAATTTTTATGATATCTTCAAATTTATATTTTTATTCAAAAATAAAATCATTATTACTTTATTAAAAACACATAAAATCGTATTATAACATCGACAGAAACAAATAATAAAATAGAACATTAAAATCGAGATGTGTCTTGCTGATTGCACAAAAATGGAACCAACTTTCACCTAATTTCTATTTTGGGGAACCAACTTTCAAAATCGTCATTTTGGGGAACCAAGTTGCACCTGATTCCTATTTTGGGGAACCAACTTGCAAAATAATTATAGAAAAATAACTAAAATTCGTTTTTTTTTTTCCAAAAATTAATGCAATAAAATCTATTTTTCATTTTAAAGCTCGTTTTTTTTAATTCAGATATCAAATTGAACATTTAAAAAAAATCCAAATTACCACAATAAAAATTATTTTTTACTAATGCAAAAAAAATCAATTTAATAGAAAATAATTAATTGATACAGATTGGTTAGTAAAAAACAATTTTTATTGTGGTCATTTGAATTTTTTTTAAATGTTCAGTTTGATATCTGAATTAAAAAAATGAGATTTGAAATGAAAAATAAATTTTATTGCATTAATTTTTGGAAAAAAAACGAATTTTAGTTATTTTTCTATAATTATTTTGCAAGTTGGTTCCCCAAAATATGAATCAGGTGCAACTTGGTTCCCCAAAATGACGATTTTGAAAGTTGGTTCCCTAAAATAGGAATTAGGTGAAAGTTGGTTCCATTTTGATGCAATTTTCCCTTTTCAGTATGAATATTTAATTCGGAACAGAATAAGTATTTAATAATTAAAATCAAAAGAAAATCAATTGTAGTGTGGTAACAAAATAATATAACTTTATGTGTTTTCTTTTTAATTTTAATTTGTAATAATATTCTGATAATATTAAGGAGTCGTTTATCAAATGTTTACCGAGATAAACATTTACTAGTAAGAGTCTTTACTCTTGTTTACATTATCGGATAAGATTCTTAACCATTAACATAACACAGTATACAATAATCAGGTAAGAATCACCTTAGTTGTTATAAAAACTAATGTACTTGAACAAAAACCCAAATTTTGGTTTCATTTATTATAAGTTTATTGTTTTTATCAGCTCACTATATTTTATTTTATGAAATATATGAAACATAGTTTAAAATTTACAGTCTAAAACTCATAAAAAAATTATAATATATTTATTAACTTTGTTTATTGTAATTTTTTATACAAATTATTTTGTACATTGTTTTAAAATACCGTTAAATATATAAATTAAAATCAATATAAAACTGTAATTAGTAATTAGACAATATATTTTTTATTTTGAAAAATTTATTTCACTTTAGCCATAAAATAGATTTTAAAAGTGGAAGATGACAAATGGTATAAGCTATCTACATTAAAAATCAAAAAAACATATACTATATTATAAAACATTTAATATAAATTTTTAAAAATTATTTTTTATACATGAAATATTATTTATTGATGCATATTATTTAAACTTTAAGATTACAAATAAATTGTACATATGTACAACTTATCAAAGTTCTATGTTTGAATTCGTGTAACTAATTACGGATAAATATAATCAAATACATGATAAATATTTTATTTTAAATATAAAAAATTGAAATATAATTAAGATAATCATTGAGTTTTAACATAATACTTAATTATTATCTTTATAAAAAANTTATTAAATTTAAATTAAATTATGATAAAAAAATTAATTAAAGAAATTACACAAACAAATGATAACTTTTAAATAGTTAATTTGATACTGATATCGATATTTTTTTTTTCAAAATTTTATGATATATTTGAATTTATATTTATTAAAAATATAAATATTGTCGTTTTCTTACAACCACGTAAAACCGTATTATACCGATAGAGACATAAATGAAACATTAAAATCGAGATGTAACTCACTGCATTGTGCAAGTATTATTCTAATAGTATAAAATAGATTTAGGGTTGTCAAAACAACACAAATGTATGAATGTTTTATAAAGACGTCATTATTGTTAACTTTTACTAGTTATGTATTTTCAACGGTATAAAATATCATCGTTATACAAAATATTAAAGTCCATTTATAATAGCCTTGTCTCCTTGTCTTTGAATTAAATGATTCAAAAAATCATCAATATACAACATTAAATATAGTTTAAAAATATACTTTTAATTATTCAAAACACCTTGGGGGCTGTTTGGCAGTTGCCCAATGGTCTAGTGCAAACTGATTAAGTGGTTAGAATGATTAAGAGGCCCTGATGATATAGTGCAAAATGAAATATAATTGTTTGGTAATTTTTTTATAATTAAATTAGGGTGTTGAATGGTTAAGAGAGGCCTAAGATACAAGGTCATTCAAATGGTTTTAGAACCATTAAGTGACAAACTTCTTTTTGCCAAATAAGATTCACATATTAACTATTCAGAGATTGCCTCTTAATAGAATTATTTAGAGGTAAACAAACAACCTCTTAGTCAAAATCGTAAATATGTTATTGGTTAACAAAGAACTCAATAACATAGTATACCAGATAGAAAACAAAATAAAATCTGATATATTTTTTTACTCCATCATCTAAAAATAAAATTTACAATAAAAATGACATAATTTTAAGAATTATTATCATAAATAAGCATACAGATGAGAAAGAAATAATTGTATGTGAAATGTGAAAATAAAACTTATTTTTAAACAAACTGAAATAAAAATTTGAGTATTTATTTTTAAAATAAACTAAAAGATCGTTTATCAAACGTATCCACATAAACGCTTACCATGTTATATTATTTTATTGAATGAATATGACAAGAATAAAAAATATTACCCGATAAGAACGAGACAATGAACAACTTACCCGGTAAGTGAGGACGACCACTCTTACTATGATAAGCATTTACCAAGTAAATAGTTACATACGATGCCGTTTTGATGGATTAAAAGGTTATCTAGTAAATAAGTGATAGTGTTAATTTTAACAATAAATGCTTACCAAGTGAGTGTTAGATAAAAAATCCCTACAAAAACTAGAACATTTATTTTTGAAACAAATAAAAATAGAAGTCTTTAAAAAAAATTAATGCAATTTTGGCCGAATAAATAAACAGAAAGAAAGCACCGACGCGTGATCGTGGCCCATCACGTTCTTCCCCAAATTTACAAGTCTTGCCCTTTCAGATCAGATCGCAGCTATCTCATCATCATGCTGTTTTCACACACTCTCAAGTACCAATAGTTACTTCTTCTTCACCAACCTTATACTGCAATCAAATCCCTACACTTTTACATTGATCTACAAGGATTTCACACAATTAAAGTGTTGTTAGCTGGTTAGATCTTGTTGCCATGGCGGTTGTAGCACGTAGCGGCAGAGGTAATGGCGGATCGGCTTTTTCCTCCGCTTTACGGAGCTTCTTTTCCTACCGGATCTTTGTTTCAGCTATGTTTACGCTTCTTTTCTTCGCAACTGCCTCCGTACTTTTCTCATCTCATCCTGCACATTTCAACGATAACTCTGTAAGTCTATATGTTGCTTGCTGCCTTTGAGTTATTTTACTTTAATGTAGTATTTTGGTTATACTGCTTTTTTCAATTCAGTTTATATTGTGCGATTTGTTTGTTAAACGAAGTTAGACTTTTAAATTTGAAATTGGCATAGTATATAAGTAATTTTCGACCTGTTGGTTGCAAATTAGGTTCAGATATGTACTCCAGTTCGTCTAGGGAACATTAAATTCTTATGATCTGTTCATGAAATATAGTAATTGAGAGAAGGAAGATAGTTAGATAATAATTCTATAGTGCATAATTAATTTTAATGTATTGGCCAAAGCGTACCACTATGAAGTGATAAAACTCTTTTGTGTTCCTTAAGATGTTTGGTATCATATAAAGGTGAGGACCGAATGAACTTCCTTTTGATGGTTTATTTGATTTCATAACAGGAAATACAAACAACTGGGAAAGCATACATGCACAGGACATTTCTTGCCTTGAAATCAGATCCATTGAAGACTAGGTTGGATTTGATACATAAGCAAGCGAGTGATCATATTGTGCTTGTGAATGCATATGCTGCTTATGCAAGAAAGCTTAAGCTTGAGATATCTAAGCAGCTTAGGGTGTTTGATGATATGGCACAAAACTTTTCTGATGTGGGTGTGAAGCCAACATATCGTACTGCATTGTTCGAGTCCAATGGGCCTGTGGATGAGGAAGTCTTGAGACAGTTTGAGAAGGAGGTTAAGGACAAGATCAAGGTTGCTAGGTTGATGATTGCCGAGAACAAGGAATCTTATGACAATCAGCTGAAAATTCAGAAGTTGAAAGACACAATATTTGCAGTTAATGAATTGCTTATTAAAGCTAAGAAGAACGGGGCATTTGCTAGCTTAATTGCTGCTAAGTCAACTCCAAAAAGTTTGCATTGTCTTGCAATGCGCCTCATGGGAGAACGAATTGCAAGTCCAGAAAAATATAGAGATGAGGAGCCTAAGCCTGAGTTTGAGGACCCTTCTTTGTACCATTATGCGATATTTTCTGATAATGTGATTGCAGTATCTGTCGTGGTGAACTCGGCTGTAAAGAATGCCGAAGAGCCATGGAAACACGTTTTCCACATTGTCACAGATAAGATGAATCTTGCTGCAATGAAGGTTTGGTTTAAAATGAGACCAGTGGAAGGAGGTGCTTTTGTCGAAGTGAAAGCAGTGGAAGAATTTACTTTCTTGAATCCCTCGTACGTCCCTGTGCTCAGGCAAATGGAGTCTGCAAATTTATACATAGAGGACAAGGCAGAAAATGAGACCGGAGAAGTGAAGAACACGAAATCTAGGAACCCAAAACATTTGTCAATGTTGAATCACCTTAAATTTTACTTGCCAGAGATGTATCCAAAGCTGCACCGGATATTGTTCTTAGATGACGATGTTGTGGTTCAGAAAGATTTGACCGCACTATGGAAACTTGACATGGATGGCAAGGTTAATGGGGCAGTTGAGACATGCTTTGGATCATTTCATCGTTATGCTCAGTATTTGAATTTTTCCCACCCGTTGATCAGGGATAAATTTAATCCAAAGGCTTGTGCCTGGGCTTTTGGCATGAATATATTTGATCTTGATGCCTGGAGGCGTGAAAGATTAACCGAACAGTACCATTACTGGCAGGATCTGGTATGTGTCCATTGCTAATCTTGTGTTTTTTGATTAGTAGAACTTTGGTGCTTGCTCTGCTCTTTCAAAAACAAGTTGGTTGTATTTGATATATATGCTTTTGTCCTACATAAACAATAGTTTGCAATCTCTTTATGCAATTTGCAAAATGATCTAGCTTAATGGGAATCACTCACATTTTTAGTTTCTAATATCAAATTTATGATTATCATGACGTTTGGCTATCTTAAACATGTTTATTCTAAACTTTGTATAGGCCCACATGAGATGCAACACTTTTCTTATACTACATTTTTTGCATATTAAAATGCAATATTAAGATAGGTGTAGGGATAAAACAAAATAAATAAATTTGGAGCTCTTTGGATGGTTAAAGGCATTATTAGGTTCAATATCTTCAGCAAAATGTTATGCAAACGCATCAATGTGCTCTGATGAGTTCAGAAATGTGTATATATAAACTGATGTTTTATGAATCTTGCATCAGAATGAGGATCAGAGTTTGTGGAAATTGGGGACACTTCCACCTGGACTGATGACCTTCTACTCAACAACAAAATCATTAGACAAAACATGGCATGTTCTTGGACTCGGATACAACCCAAGTATAAGCATGGATGAGATTCGTAACGCTGCTGTCATTCATTTCAATGGGAATATGAAACCATGGCTCGACATTGCTATGAACCAATTCAAGCATCTATGGACTAAATATGTCGACAACGAAATGGAATTTGTGCAGATGTGCAACTTCGGCCTATAGACAATGACCGCCTTCTCCTCAACAACCGATTAAACAGAGGTAATCGAACGATGCCTCTATCCATTTTGGGTTATTTTACTTCTAAATAGCTGTAACATCCTGAGCCAAGCTCTGCAAGTGTCCCATTATTTTTTTCATACATCCTGATAGTTAAAAAGTGTTAAAATATCAAGATGAACCAATGTGCTATGTTTAAATGATTCTTTTGTATGAACACCTTTCTCTCGATAAATTTACGCTATTAGCAAATGCAAACATGCAAGTTATTTATGGATTTTACACATTCTCATTAGATCATGGAAACAACTTCTCTACCCTAGACCCTACCTCTGTGTGTGCTATACCGGGTTCATTTGGTTTACACATTCCCATTCGATGTATTTGCACGTGATGTACAGATGTTGAAAAATCCAACCTTTTTGTGGGATATACCGAGTTCATTTGGTTAAAAATTCCTATTACATCATGGAAACAACCCTAGACTCTACCTCTGTGTGAGATATACTGGGTTGGGTTGGGTTGGGTTGGGTTGGGTTGGGTTGGTTTGGTTTGGTTTGGTTTGGTTTACAGCTCTCATTTGAGGAAACAACCTCTCAGCCCTTTGGGACAGAACAAGGGTATGCATACATCCTACTCCTCCATACCGTACCTATGTGTGGGATATACTGGGTTCGTTTTGGTCTACACATTTTCATGGGGTAGAGACAAGGTCTGCTTATATCATACTCCCCCAAACCCTACCTCAGTGTGGGAAATAATGGGTCCGTTTAGTTTATACATTCCCATTAGATCATGGAAGCAACCTCTCAACCCTTTGGGGGGAGGCAATGTCTACAAACAACCTACTCCTCCGGACGTTACCTTTGTGTGGGATATACCGAGTTCGTTTGGTTTATACATTTCCTTTAAATGTATCTGCACTTATTTATAGATGTTGAATGTAGGCTTAACAACGATATCCTGTTCCACATCAACTATGAATATGATTTATGAGTTCAAGACTTAGGTAGCGAGTTACTACTAACTTTTGGCTATTGAGGCGCTACACAGCTGGATGAAGCGAAAAGCCTCTGTAACAGCAAACGTTTGTAAATGAATGTCAATCGAATCGAAATTTGAAAATGCCGAAATTCCTTTTTTGTTAGTAATACGCTATTTGAACTTGAATTTGAATTTAACGGATGTTTAGTGTTAATATCCAAATTCACATGAGATATCAAGTTTAATTCCTGTTAGTTTATTTCGGGGCCAGATTTATTTGCTCAAGTTTTAAAATTTGTGTGGTTTAATTTTAAAGGGGTATCTGCATGAACTTTGTGGATAACTTGGGTTCAAAAAAGCCGAAGCCTTAAGCCCGGTCCAGGCAAGGCTTTGAAGCCCGATAGGGCCCTTTTCAATTCCAAATCCCGGTCCAGAGTGGACCTCTTTTGCTCACTGAAAACGAACTTAAAAGATTTGGACTTTGTGCATTTCTAGATATAAATGTTGTAACGATCCAAATGATAAAAAGGATGGTCTAAAATATGTAAAGTTGTGATGATTTGAACAAAGGGGGAACATTAGCAAGTGTTCCATGCACTTCAAAGCTAGATCGGCCAACATGCACATTGGATATGTTTTGAGTATAAAAGTATAAGCGGTTTTTTGTTTTGAAAAGAAGTCTGATGGTTAAATGTAAGACAACTGATACATTATAGCTTTGCGTCTGGCTTGATAGTTAAAGTAAAAAACAAACGTTGTTTAATAAATGAGCGACTATAGGTTTGATTAAGCAAAAACAAATGGGTTCTTAATGATTTTTGAACCCATTGATTTGATTAGAAAGGAAGTCATGTTTTCCAAAAGGATTAATCACTAATCTACCCTTTTTCATTAATCTCTTTATTGTTTCTCCCTAATTACAAAAAAAAAAAAAATACCCATCTTTTTAAATATGTGACTAGCAAAATACCCTATTTTTTACAAGGTTATCAGAGTTTGACATGTGTCCCATAAAAAACAGTAATTTTGTCTTTTGCGAGCTATCATGTTTTTGCAAGCTATAAGAAATTCAACAACAAACGTCCTTCTGAAATTCAATCTCTTTATTTTTTAAACATGGTTAAAATTCTAGTATAAGAGTGTGACAACTTGTTACTGGTGTTAAGGTATTTCATCTCGTAGATGTCTTTACTTTTTTTTTAACTGGTTTATATCAACTGACTACGGACAACATCATCTTCGATCCATTAACAAATCAACGTATACAACATTAGAGATATTAAACAAGGAACTTACATAATCACTAACAATTATGGGCATGGCTCAATCCACGTTTGTTTTGATCCATTAGAGTACATTTTTATATAATGTTGAGCAAATCCTTTTTTTTTTTTCCTTCCAATTATGGGTATCATATATATTTTGACTAATCACGTTGAACTTGAAGATAACAATCAAAAAATTTCATAACGACTTTAACTGATGACTGAAAAGCCGTAAGACATAACATTTATTTACCAGTTAAGTTGATCCTTAAAATTATGTTGGACAAAACCTTAAAAACTATACATATTTGTTGGTCCTTGGGAGTCTCTTGAAGATAGGGCTTCGGATCTGTTTAGTTTGCTGAATTTGGTGACTTAGAACTGGATTCATTTCAATCTCGTATTAGATTTAAAGGAATATTTAGAATTGAAATTCCACAAAAACTAGATTTAAAGATATCATGGAACAGTTCATATTTGACAAGATTTCATATGATTTATTTATAATAATATTAAAAACATTTGTTTTGTGGTAATTAATTAATAAAAAGGTAATTTAATTGTTTCTCATAACTATTTATAATTTATAATAAAGAATGAAATCCAGTTTCATTTCGGTTCATAACTCCATATATAAACCAAACGGGCCTTAACATATACCCTTGTTTAGTTGGGTTGGGCCTTTTAGTCAGGTTTCTTCCGAAATTGACCTGATCATTTCGATGGAACTCTACGAACAAGACCGATATTTAGAAAAGTACTCAAAAACAATATGCGACCGTATCCATTCACGTAATTCATGTTTTCAATTAGGATTCATCGCGTTATAACATTATGAAAGAGTGTTATTTTAACACCATCTCAACTTAATGTTATCCTCATGAATCAAAAGAGTTTGAAACAAATGGTCTTGTTTACTAACTCTGATATAACCGATACAGCTGAATCAGTCAACATCAACATGTTTTACCTACTTAGGGATTGATCCGACTAAAGATATTGATCGAGCACCTACCAGTCCAACATTATTCTCTCGCTTAACTCATCAGTTTGTGTATTGTTACCCAGACTGCACTTTTAGCCAATCAACATTTATTCAATCTGTGTTGGTAAACAACCCCTAAATCGTTAAATACATACCAGTATTGACACATTCAGATATAAGAACTAACATCGAGTACCAATTCGTAATAGAATTTTGAATCAAAAAACAATAGTTGACGAGCCAACTTTTTCATTAGATTTGGTTTGTCCCTTTCGATGTCCAAAGGTTCTTATACTTAGATCCTTCATATGAAAAAGTCATTGCACTTTATTCTTCAACGTCAAAGGAATTCATATCGAAAATTATTTATTTTCTTTAAAAAAAGAAAAAAAAAATATACCACCAATAATATGTCTTTTTTTTGTTAATCATTGGTGTCTGGACCAACTTGCTTGCATCTCGACTAATTTCATGGACCCTAAAAAACAGTTGAAAAATCTCTAGTTGTTTTACAGAACTCGAACCGGTGACTTTTAAAAGTAATTCCCAAAACCCCAATTCTTATTAACGATATATAAAATTATTATTTTTATTAAAAAATATATAAGTCAGATATTTTCAACAAATATCAAACTTCCATCAAATAAAGTTAGTTTTATTTAATTGATATAAAGTTGAAGCTTTGATTTTTTTTAATTCAAATCTCCACTAACCTTGATTACTAAAGACACGATAATTGAGCGAAAATTGGGAAATTAAAGCATAGATTTTAGAACATTATTCGTGTGTCTATATATATAGAGTTGGGTTCACGTAAGATCAAACTGTTTTCGTGAGACCATATTTTTACACTTGAAACTTCATAGCAAAAACACTGTGAAAGTTTAAAAAAGTCGAACATTCACAACAAAAACACTGTGAAGGTTACCTTCACAGCATTTTGCTGTGAAGTTTCAAGTGTAAAAAACTGGTCTCATGAAAACAGGCTGGTCTCACGTGATCCCAAATATATATATATAGATTGATAAATAGAGAGAGAGGGATAGGATCAAAAGGAGATGATACCTATTTAAAAAAACACGAAAACGGACAAATCACCTGTAAAATCATATGTGATTTTACATTAATGATAAAAAAAAGTGTTATAGTGACTTGTGGCTGCATCTTCAGGTCATCGGACAAGATCGTGTAAATAACATGTGATGTTAGTGTAAAATCATATGAACCAATCGTTTATACACACACACACACACACACACACACACACACACACACACATATATATATATATATATATATATATATATATATAGACTTGGGATCATGTGAGACCAA